TTTGTGGGTATCTTGCCAGCACTGGGTTGGCTGCTGGCAGGGTAGGCTAACATCAACTGGCTGAGTCATTTTACTACTTGATGCAGTGTTAATGTAAGATACGAAGATCTTCACATTTCATGCCCACTCCATATGTCTAGCAACATCCTTCTACCCTAGACCTTTCTGTTGCCAGTCTTTCTATCTTTTCTTTCTAGACCAAGTCAATAACCTCTTCTGTATCCAATCTTGTTTGCTAGCCTCCTGATCCAGCACGCTCAGAATTCAGTACCAAGAGATTTCCCCTGGGCTGTATTGGGGCAGATCAGCTAGATCTTGCAGTTTCTTTGTGGTATTATCCCTTTCTTCTCTTGGTTGATCCTATATGTCCCTGACTGGGTTGTGCTGTGACTTAACCACATTTATAAGCCTGATGTTAGGAGAGGAGGTATAGCAATTCCTGATGGGACACCACTTCTATAGTCTTTCTGTACTTAAAGGGAGGGCTTGGTCTGTTGCAGTGTCAGAAGGTTCAGAGACATCTTAAAAGCCAAAATATTTGGAGGCACCTGCTCAGAATTCCTATCCTATGTGTCAAAGCCGTTGATTTTCCAACTCTGGTGTAACATACCTACCTTGATTAAGCATAAAGCTATCACTGAAGTTTAGCCCCTGTGACTACAGAACCCTGGAATTGATCTCCAGATTTTTCTGCTTGCCTTTGCAAGAGATGGAGATCTCTTTGCTCTTATTGGTTTCAATGATTTGTCAGTTGCACTTATCTTTTGTTATCTATCAGCAGATCAATACAATTTAGTAACAACCATATAATTTCATTATCCTTGTGATTATCACCTCTTCACCACCTCTGGACATTTCAATGCCTGAATCATTGCACTGACCAGTGCATTTCCCTCCATGGTACATACATTTCCCACTGGACACTGATTAGGGATGATGTATCCCTAAGCGTTGTTGGCAGCCTTATTGCTGCCAGGAGGGAAGAGTTTTCTCAAGGATGGATTCTACTCTGTGAAAACCGAGATGAAACGAAGAAAAAGAGAAACCTTAGTCTTAACCTATTGTCTGCATTCTGGATAAAGTCAAGCCTGAAGACTCATTTATCTGGTCGCTCTCCTCCCCTGGGAGACAGCCTACGATCATTTTCATTGCTCCAGGCAGTTTAGACAGCCTCGAGTCCCCTGATTCTCACATGAGACCAATATCATTTCTTTATTTTACAGATAAAGCAATAGATCCAGAAAGTTCAGTAATGTACTCAAAGTGATACAAATTAGTCTAGATATTTTGACTCTAGTTAGAAAGCTCTGTGTAGGAAATTAATTGTTAATGACAAAAAGATAAAAGTTCTGGAGTAAGGAAGCATCCAGACATTCTACAAAGAAGTTTCTATTCACTTGTCTTAACTTGATTCTTACCATGCACAAACTGTGCATTCTGTCCAATCGAATCCTCTATCCCTAGGTCACCTGCCTTTGTTCACACCTCACCTCACCCCTCCATTATTTCCCTGTTAACATTCATTCAGCCTCTGCTCTTACCTCCTACTGGGAGGTGTCATGGTGGAATCAAGTCTCGTGTGTGAAAAGGTGTTCATTCCCCATAGACATACAAAGGAGTGATGTTCCAAGTTGATACTCTTGGGCTTTCTCACCTGAGGAGCCAAGTTCAAGCCTCTTTAGTGATTGTACACAAATATGAGAGGGTCTAAATGAAGTGATTCCATGTTATCCAGGGAGGGATTCTCCGGGGAGTATGATTCTATGTTATATAATATTATGAAGTCAGTGCACTAAATCACTATGTCCTATCATGAATAGTTGACTTTTGACTAAAGGTGAAACTTCTGATAGAGTAGCATGAAAATGGAAGAGACAGAATCAATAGATAGGAAACTGCAGAATCTCTGTGTGTCTGCTGGTGGGTTTTTCAATTACAGTTCTCCTTACCGATAGTTGGAGGTGCTGTTAAAGTGATGGCTCAGTGCCCAGAAGTTACTAGGCATAGCCGAAACATTTAAATCAGTCGAATTTTTAGTTTGATGCTAGTTCTTTTTTTTTTTATTTTTATGTTAGAGAAAAGTTCAGGTCATAGTTAGAGGTATGAGTACTTTGCATGCACTAATCATCAAATCCTAGAAGTTTGCAATTAGAGGGAAATTGATCAATAAGTGGAATTTACCTCTTTCTATTGGCAGACTGATACCTATGAAGGTCACGCTCTGCTGAATTACTGTTTATTAGTGAGTTATCCAGTCTTCCAAGGTATAGAGAGAAGATGGAGCATTCATGGTCAGTTATTATTTATGACTCATGACAGTTTTGTTCTATTACATGCTGTCAATCAGTCCTGTAACAGTTGTTTTTTTTTTATATGATACTCTAAATTGTGTAATTTTCCAAACCTATCCACTTTTGTATATTTGGAATTATGTACATATTGTTCCTTTTGCCTTTGGAAATGTGTTTTAAATATTTGGTCCTGAATAGTCTGTTTTAGTAATTTTAGGAGATTTTTTTGACATCCAAAATACAATTTTTGTGCTTAATACTGTCAGTTAATTTTAATACATGACTATGATCAAACTCAGGAATAAAGCAACTTCTCTTCTACTGGCTGCCTACAGGTCTGCACCCAAGACAATATCCCATGTCTTCAGCTTGCTGTGTCCTGTTTTCCTGGCAGCTTCATCTCCTACAGTGAATTTCCTCTGGTTTCCAAAACATCACACAAAGGCCAGTCGGTCTCCATTCCAGTTGGGGACATCAAGTACCTTCTGATTCAAGCAAGTCAGCCTTTCTCCTTATGCAGACTTCCTTCCACCTAATGGCCTTCCACCATGGCATCCTGTGGTTGTTGTTCATTCTCTGCCTCCTCTTGTAGATGTAGTCTTTCGCTCATTTAAATTTCTAAAGCATGTGTTATTAATTCCCAATTGTGTTGTATATTGGTTTCTTTTAGACCTTTAGTCCTTAAAAATTGGGTCAAGGCCAAGCGTGGTGGCTCAAGCCTGTAATTCCAGCACTTTGGGAGACTGAGGAGAGAGGATTGCCTGAGCCCAGGGGTTTGAGACCAGCTTGGGCAAATTGGTAAGACCTTGTCTCTACAATAAATCAAAAATTTAGCTGGGCATGGTGGTGTGTGCCTGTAGTTTCACCTAGGTGGAAGACTGAGGCGGAAGGATCACCTGAGCCCAGCAAGTTGAGGCTGCAGTGGCTGTGAGCATGCCACTGTACTCCAGCCTGAGCGACAGAGTGAGACTCCAACACACACACACACACACACACACACACACACACACACACACACACACACACACACACACATAGGGTCTAGATTTTTAAAAACTTTTAAATTCATTTATTCTTAAAATATTCTCTTAACATCTATTATGAAGTCAATAAATGCTGTAGACATTGTGTGTGTGTATAGCAAAGGGGCAAACAAACCTTTGCCTTCCTGGAATTATGCTCTAATGAGGGATACACGCACACACAAACACACACACACGTATGTAGGTGAGGGAGAAAAAGTTCTGGGGTATGAGGGAATTGGAGTATTATTTTATGTAACATACTGGTTAAAGCGTTGGAAGCTATTTTATGTAGTGTGCTTAGCTCTTTGTTGAGGTCTGGATTCAAATGTGTTCCTGAGGGTACAGGGCCTAGAAAAATGGTAACTGGTCAATCAGTGCTTGTTGAATAATTAGCAAGTAAATGAATTTTGTGAAGACAGGTATAGTTAGGAAAAAGAAGAGAGAGACAAAGGGAGAGGAACAGTGGAAGTTTTTAAATTACAGTTTTACAATGATGAAAAAAAGTGTGTGTGGGGTTGCTTCTTCTTAAGTCATCATGGTCAAAAGGATGGACCTTGGAGATCTGGTGCCCAAAATTCGACATCCAGGTTAATCTCAGTATGATTGGCCAGATCCAGGGTGGGCAGAAATCAGTAAGCCTGAAGTCAATTCACAAAGTCAGTAGGTCACCTAAGATAGTTCCATATAAAATACAAACTCCTCTGTGTGTTTCTATAGAATGTCCTCACTTTTAACCAAGTCACATATAGGTATTTTTTTTAAAGCAAGATTTATTGAGAGGACAGAAAAGCTCCCACAGTGGGAGGCAACCCCAGGGGGTGGTCTGGCATTTTGAATCTAATAAATATTTTAAATACATTTATTTAAATTTGTTATAGCTTTGGGTTATTAGGTTGTTATAAAAATTTGCGGACTATCTTTTTAAATCTATTTACTTTTTTACACTGTACTTTTTGTGGACTTAAATTTTATATTTATACAAAATTGAGTAGAACAAATTATACTTGCAGCAATGTTATGGGGTTGGAATCCAAGATATGAAATATTTGTATTTACTTTAAGGTTATGCTTAATTTTCAAATTACATAATGTACAAGTTGAAATAGAACTTTGATATTATTTTGTATTTTTCAGAAAAGATTTTTGAGCCAGAATTCTTCATCTCTCTTTTTATATTTGAAAGATTCATTCATTCGTTGGACAAAGTGACTCATTTCTATAATCCCAGTACTTTGGAAGGCTAAGGCAGATCACTTGAGGCTAGGAGTTTGAGATCAGCCTGGGCAACATAGTGAGATCCAGTCTCTGCAAAAATACAAACATCAGTTGCATGTGGTGTCACATGCCTGTAGTCCCAGTGATTCGGGAGGCTGAGGCAAGAGAATTGGTTGAGCCCAGGAGGTGGAGGCTGCAGTGCACTGAGGTGTGACTGTGTCACTGTACTCTAGTCTGGGCAATAGAGCAAGACTTTGTCAAAAAAAATTTTTTTAAAAAAATTCAAGTATTTAGCACTTCTCCAAAAGTGTCAGAGAACATTTCTGCCAGGATGAGCCCCTCTTTTCACCTTTGGCCAGAATTTCTTGGATGAATGCAGACTGGAATTCTCAGCTAATAGACTGTGACTTCGTACTTTACTTGCTCCACAAAATCAATGTAAATACATGCAGGATTTCCACTCATGAAAATGAAAAAACAAAATCAAAGCTCTGTGGTTGAATTCATCCTTCTGGGCTTTTCTAACTTTCCTGAACTCCAGGAGCAGATCTTTGGGATTTTCTTGGTCATTTATGTGGTAACGCTGGTGGGAAATGCCATCATCATAGTCATCATTTTCCTGGACCAGAGTCTTCACATTCCCATGTACCTGTTTCTCCTGAACTTGTCTGTGGTGGACCTAAGTTTCAGTGCAGTCATCATGCCTGAAATGCTGGTGGTCCTCTCCACTGAGAAAACGACGATATCTTTTGTGGGTTGCTTTGTACAGATGTATTTCATTCTATTTTTTGGTGGGACTGAATGTTTTCTCCTAGGGACAATGGCTTATGACCGATTTGCTGCAATTTGCCATCCTCTGAACTACCCAATGATTATGAATAAAGGGGCTTTTATAAAATTAGTTATGTTTTCATGGGCTTTAGGTTTTATGTTAGGTAGAGTGCAAACATCGTGGGTGTCAAGCTTTCCCTTTTGTGGTCCCAATGAAATTAATCATATATCTTGTGAAACCCCAGCAGTGTTAGAACTTGTATGTGCAGACATCTTCTTGTTTGAAATCTATGCCTTCACAGGCACCATTTTAATTATTTTGGTTCCTTTCTTGCTGATACTCATGTCTTACATTCGAATACTTTTTGCCATCCTGAAGATGTCATCAACGACTGGGAGACAAAAAGCCTTTTCCACATGCGCCTCTCATCTCACCTCTGTGACCCTCTTCTATGGCACAGCCAGTATGACTTATTTGCAACCCAAATCTGGCTACTCACCCGAAACCAAGAAACTGATGTCACTGTCTTACTCACTGCTCACACCTCTGCTGAATCCGCTGATCTACAGCTTTCGAAACAAAGAGATGAAAAGGGCTTTGATGAAATTATTGCAAAGAAGAGTGGTTTTGACCAGGCATGGTGACTCATGCCTGTGATCACAGCACTTTGGGAGGCTGAGGGGAGAGGATTGCCTGAGCTCAGGGATTCGAGACCAGCCTGAGCAACATGGCAAGACCTTGTCTCTACAATAAATAAATAAATAAACTAGCTGGGCTTGGTAGTGTGCGCCTGTAGTTCCAGCTATTGGAAGGTTGAGGTGGAAGGATTTCCTGAGTCCAGCAGGTCTAGGCTGCGGTGGCTGTGAGCGTGCCACTGCACTTTAGCCTGGGCAACAGAGTAAAACTCCAAATTCAAAAAAAAAAAAAAAAAAAAAAAGAAGAAGAGTGGTTTTACACACAATCTGACTGTGTTGAGAAACCATGTAATATTTGGTCACTCCCTAGCTAAACTATATTTAAATTTATTTAATAGTGAAAACAGTTTGCATTTCCTGGTGTGACTGTGCTTAATTTGTTGAGTTCTTCAAGGCTGATCATATATCAGGGGCATCTTTATATGCTAATCTTTTCATTTTTCATGGATGCATAATATTCCTTAATATGGGATATAATTAATTTCTTCAACAATTTGTTTCATGTGGCCCTACTAGTAGTTTTTTTTTTTTTTGGTTATAATAAAAAATACTATTCTATAGCATAGCTTTCACAAAGTGGGCTTAGTGGGTCAAAACAAATGTGAGTTGGCAAATTTTCATAGATATTACCAAATTATTTTTCTAAATGATTTGAACTATTTCAGATTGTCATAAAGACCCATTCTGCCCCAATGGTTGGGTTGAACTTCAAGCATCCTACAAATAAAGAGATGAGATTTTACTTTTGTAGTGAAAACTTTTTCATGAGACAGTAGAAAAGAGAAACTATTTATTGAGAGGTCCACAATGGCTCTATTGAGGGACCCAGGGAGATTATAATTCAAAATTAGATTCCATTTGGCTATCTTACAATATATCATCCATTGCTTTGAGTAGGAAATATCATTTGGCTCAGCCTGTAATCCCAGCACTTTGGGAGGCTGAGGCAAGTGGATTGCCTGAGCCCGTGAGTTCGAGACCAGCTCGGGCAACTTGGCGAAACATTGTCTCTACAATAAATTAAAAAATTAGCTGGGCATGGTAGCGCAGGCCTGTAGTTCTGGCCACTTGGAAGGCTGAGGTGGAAGGACCGCCTGAGCCCAGCAGGTCGATGCTGGGGTGGCCATGAGTGTGCCACTGCATTCCAACCTGGGTGATGGAGTGAGACGCCAACTCAAAAAAAAAAAAAAAAGAAAGAAAACATCGTGATCATTTTTGAAGGTCATTTATAGTGTGGTGCTTTTCGCTTATAATGCATTGTTTTAAGAAACCTAATCAAATTTCTTTTGTGGGACAAAAATGCCCCCATACAAGCCAAACAATGTGTGATTGGGTTGTGTGTGCCTATTGTCTTTTATCCTTGAGTAATAACAACATCTGTGCTCATCTTTCTCAGAATTTTTGTTGCCAAAAAGATACTGAACTCTGTTGTAAAATGTCTTAAGAGGTTTATTCTGGCTAATATATGTGACAAGGACCAGGAGGATTCATCCTCAGGAGGTCCTGAGAATGTGTGCCTGGGGTAGTTGAAATGTACTTTGGTTACATACATTTTAGGGAGGCAGAAGTTACAAAACCATAAATCAATACATGTGAGATTTTCATTGGCTTGGCCTAGTAAAGATAAATACTTCCAAGTGGGGGATTGCAGGTTATAGGTGGACTCAAAGATTTCTTGACTGGCAGTTTGAAGTTCCTATCAAAGGAATTTTGGAATTGGTCCCTGAGACAGCTTTGCAGATCACATTATATTTTGATTTCCTTCTTTGTCTGTTGTGTTGCTATGTCAGAGTCAGACTGGAAAACAAACTACAATTTATAGAACAATTGGGTAATAAAATCCCATCTGGTGAGTCCTTATCATGTAAGATTCTCCAAGCATCTTAGTTAGGAATTTGGATGAGAGAATGAAAGCTCACTCTTTAGTTCTCACTTTGCAACACTGAAATGTAGCATTTCATTCTTGCTCCTATTGTACTATTGCTCCAAGAAATAGATATGGTTCTACTCATCGAATCTACATCAAAGGAGTGACTACTACCCTTCATTTCTGCTCCAGTGAAGGAAATAAAGAGGTAAGAAGACTCTCTTTTTCTCTTAAGCAATCATTCACTTGATGGAAAAAAATCTTCCCCCCCCTTCATATATACTGCCAAAAATGAGCATGAGCATGTAAATCTATTGGTATCCAAAGGAAAAAAAAAAGGAATTTCATCAACAGATGCTGAAACCTCATGGGTAATATCTGAATTTGTATAATATCATTTTCAGCAGAGCATCAAGCAACATCAGCAGATTCTTTAATTGATTCCTTTGTTTTTATATTCTGGAATTTCCTTCCACTCACTCTTAACCAATTAAGTAAGACTTATCTAAATCCAACAAATAAGCAAACAAGGGAAGTTAAATACAGAACTTGTTTGTTTTCAAATGAAAGTCGATTTTTATTTTATCATCAACAGCCATTCTTTAAACATGAATATGCATATGTAATATTCTACACACGCATCACAGTTTTTTAATGTTAGTTAATAAAGGTTAAACACACAACATGCATCCTTACAAAAAAAAGTCAAAATGCAAACTTAAAACTCTAAACAAAAGTCTTACTAGTTTAAAAAACATTTGTGATGGGTGCCATTTGTACAACACAGTTAATTTAAACATTTTCATTTTGGCTGCTTATGAAAAAAGTGGCAGTAGAAAATAAAGTAATTGAGAATTTTAAAATAACAGAACAGATAGTTTTACCATGCAAGGGAAGCAATACTAAATATTGCTTCAAAAAAACACACATTTGAAAATATTTACTTAAAGTCACTAAATTTTTCTCAATAGAGACGCCATTGCAATGCATAATTAGATGACTTAGATGGCCTGTTTGAAAGAACAAGATCCTTTCAGAGTGTAACTTTACTGATTCTGGCACAGAAAAAAAGTCTTAAGAGCAAGATTGGCTGGGCACAGTGGCTCAAGCCTGCAATCCCAGCACTTTGGGAGACCAAGGCGAGAAGATTGCCTGAGCTCAGGGGTTCAAGACCAGCCTGGGCAACTTGGTGAGACCTCGTCCCTACAATAAATGAAAAAATAAGCCAGGCGTGGTAGCATGTGCCTGTAGTTCCAGTCACTTGGAAGGTTGAGTCAGAAGGATCACCTGAGCCCAGCAGGTCGAGGCTGCAGTGGCCATGAGCATGCCACTGCACTCCAGTCTGGGCGACAGAGACTCTGACTCAAAAAAGAACAAGATTAAACAAGAGAGAAGATGAACTAAGGAAAGATAAAAGCACGAATAAATGAGATAGTAATTGCAATCACTAAAAAACTCCATTCTCAGTCATTGCAGAATGCTGTCTTCTGTCTACAGCAGGTAGTGCTTATTCCAGAACTGTCATTGAAGCATAGATTTAATTTGCTTGGAGGTAGTCTCATGATTCAAATGTTTTGTTATGTACCTGAGAGCATTTAGAAAACCTTCTACACTATTAGGAGGTTGGTCCTTATGAACTTTGATACAACCTTTCATATCTATTTTGGATGTTTTGGCAGATGCTCCCACTGGAACTACATGGTCATAGAGTATTATGGCACCCACCATTACTGTCAAGCAGAACGACGCTGTCTTTTCGTTTGTAAACCTGCTTCTGTATTCTGGTGTTTCCAGCATGACTGCATACACTAGCCATGGTGCTTAAACCTTCTGTGGTATTTTCTAATGGTAAATTTTATTCTCTGATACAAATTTTGTGGCATCACTTAAGATTTTCAGTACTGGAGTTGTCTCAGCATAATACAAATCAGTTTGCCAATTCATTATTTACTTCATTTTCTCCTGCTGGTACATTATTCATCTTCATACGACTCAAGGCTCTTCTATAATAGCTCAAGTCATGCTGTATGGCAGGATTTGTTATCTTGAGTTCATCAGACTGGAGTGTGAAATGAAGAATTTCTGCAAACTGCAAAAGCCTGCTCTCACTTCTTGATGCTGAGTGGGAGAATACGGGGTACTTGTTAAGGCTCCCCAAAGATCGCTTTATGCTGCTTCTAGCCTCTGAGAAAATTCATAAAATTTATGTATCTAATTTGCTTACTAGTGGAACAACTACACTCCACACTCTCTCCTGCAACTTCTCATCTGCTGGATGCTAGATTGCCTCTGGAATTTCATGGTCAGCTCCTCTGTTTGGTTGCAAGTACCTCAAGATGCCTTCTGCATCTTTGTGTGTGTGTGTGTGTGTGTGTGTGTGTGTGTGTGTGTGTGTGTTTAGCAAACATAATCTTTATTCATTTGTAGTTTGCTTAAAAGAGGAAAAACTACTTTAAGATGTTAAAATCAGACAGCATTTCTAGTGTGGGGCACAAAGAGAAAACAATAATTGAAAGAGGGCCACAAAAAAAGGCTAGTTGGAGTCTACTGTACTCAAGAAAGAGAAAAAGCCTCTGACATTCAAGTCAGCCTTGGTACTACTGACTTTTAACTGTTTAGACCTAATAAAAAGTTTTGATTTTTTTTTTCTCAGCAAAGCTTGGCAGAAATGCATGAATTTTGAGGGGATATATAATATTCAAATAAATAGTAAGTTAATTATATGAATGCTTAGATGCCATGTATTTGGGTTAGGTCAAAAGTTTTTCAAAAGTGTGCCTTTCATATAATTCTTTAAATATAATGTTATATCATCCTACAATCCACAGTTTATTAGTGTAAGTTTATAAGCTAAATCGTTAATGAGATAAGTTGGGTATCACTACTCCCACTTGCAAAAAGTAAACATACAGGTTAGCAGGTTTTTTAGAAACAGATATTTTGAAAATACATAAAAGTAGCACACTTTTATTATTCCTAACTTACAAAGACCTAAGTCATAACAAATAAATCAACAAGTTATTCACTTGTTTTTGAAAAATCATGTCAATTTAAACTTAGAAAAGAGCAGGAGATATAAGAATAGAAAGATCTTA